TGTATGAATCCCATTGCTTTGTAAAATTTTTTAAAAATATTTGTTTATTTATTTGGCTGCATTGGGTCTTAGTTGCAGCACGCAGGATCTTCATTGCATCATGCTGATCTTTCCTTGTGGTTCACAGGCTCTCTAATTGCGGCACACTTTCCCAGTTGTCACATTGCATGGGCTTAAGTGCTCTGTAGCAGGCAGGGTCTTAGTTCCCTAACTAGGGATTGAACCCATGTCCCCTTCATTGCATGGCAGATTCTTTTTTTTTTTTTTTTAGTGTTTTTTTTTTTTCTTTCTTTCTTTCTTTTTTTTAAAATTTTTATTAGTTGGAGGCTAATTACTTTACATGGCAGATTCTTAATCACTGGACCACCAGGGAAATCCCTGTATCTTGTTTTTAAATTCTTTTAATAGTGCCTTTCACAAAGCTTTTTTTTTTTTTTAAGGTATAATTCTAGCCTCAGAATTTTAACTTCATGGGTTATTCTTTTGATGCTGTATCTGAAAACTCAGCATCAAGCCCAAGGTCACTTAAATTCTTCCTCTATTGTTTTCTAGAATTTTAATAGTATATTATCTAGGGTGAAACAGATCACCAGCCCAGGTTGGGTGCATGAGACAAGTGCTCGGGCCTGGTGCACTGGGAAGACCCAGAGGGATCGGGTGGAGAGGGAGGTGGGAGGGGGGACCGGGATGGGGAATACATGTAAATCCATGGCTAATTCATTTCAATGTATGACAAAAACCACTGCAATGATGTAAAGTAATTAGCCTCCAACTAATAAAAATAAATGAAAAAAATAAATAAATAAAAAAAAAATTACAAAAAAAAAAGTTTTGTCTTTACATTTAGGCTTATGATCAATTTTGACTTAATTTTTGTGAAAGTTGTAAGATTTCTATCCAGATTATCTTTTGTTTTTCTTTTTAATTTTGGCAACCAATTGTTCTAGCCTCCTTTACTGAAAAAAAAAAACACACACACACATACTTTCTCTGTTGAATTGTTTTTGATCCTTTATGAAGAGCCATTTTATTTATGTGGCTTTCTATTCTATCTATGTATCTATGTGTGTAGTCTTTCACCAATACCACACCATCATGATCACTGAGATTTATAATAGGTTTTGAACTCAGGTGATACATAAATTCTCCAGTTTTTTTTCCTATTAAATATGTATTGGCTATTATAGGTCCTTTACCTTGACATGTAAACTTTAGTCAGTTTTTCAATATCTCCAAAATATCATACTAAGATTTTAACTATGATTATATTGAATCAAATTGGGAAGAATGAATATCTTTACAATATTGTGCATTTCAGTTCATGTAAATAGCATTCCATTCATTTAGGTTTCCTTTGGTTTGCAGAGTTCTATGGTTTTTAGCATATACATTCTGTACATATTTTGTTGTTCAGTTGCTCAGTCATGTCTGACTCTTTGCAACCCTGAGGACTGCAGCACGCCAGGCTTCCCTGTCCTTCACTGTCTCCCAGAGTTTGTTCAAACTCATGTCCATTAGGTCAGTGATGGCATTCAACCATCTCATCCTCTGTCATCTACTTCTCCTCCTGCCCTCAATATTTCCCAACATCAGGGTCTTTTTCAGTGAGTCAGGTCTTTGCATCAGATGGCCAAAGTATTGGATTTTCAACTTCATCACCAGTTCTTCTAGTGAATATTCAGGGTTGACTTCCTTTAGGATTAACTGGCTTGATATCTTCGCTGTCCCAGGAACTCTCAAGAGTCTTCTCCAGCACCACAGTTCAGAAGCATCAATTCTTCAGCACTCAGACTTCTTTATGCCACTACTCCTAACATCCGTACATGACAACTAGAAAAACCATGTTTGACTATATGGATGTTTGTCAGCAAAATGATGTCTGCTTTTTAATATGCTGTCTAGGTTTGTCATAGCTTTTCTTCCAAGGAGCAAGCATCTTTTAATTTCATGGCTGCAGTCACCATCTGCAGTGATTTTGTAGCCCAAGAAATTAAAAAGTCTGTCACTGTTTCCGTTTTTCCCCATCTATTTGCTGCAAAGTGAAGGGACCTGATGCCATGATCTTAGTTTTTTGAATGTTGAGGTTTAATCAGGTTTTTCATCCTTCTCTTCCACCCTCATCAAGAGGCTCTTTAGTTCCTTTTCACTTTCTGCCATTGGAGTGGTATCATCTACATATCTGAGGTTGTTGATATTTCTCCCTGCAGTCTTGATTCCAGCCTGAAATTCATCCAGCACAGCATTTGGCTTGATGTACTCTGCACATAAGTTAAATAAACAGGTTGACAACATATGGCCTTGACATCTTCCTTTTCCAGTTTTGAATCAGTCCATTGTTCCATGTCTAGTTCTAACTGTTGCTTCTTGCCCTGCATACAGGCTTCTCAGGAGACAGGTGAGGTGGTCTGATCACAGTTTGTTGTGATCCACACAGTAAAAAGCTTTAATGTAGTCAGTGAAGCAGACATTTTCCTGGAATTTCCTTGCTTTTTCTATGATCCAACAGATGTTGTCAATTTGATCTCTGGTTCCTCTTCCTTTTCTAAATCCAGGTTGTACATCTGGAATTTCTCAGTTCACATCCTGTGAAGCCTTGCTTGAAGGATTTTTAGCATAATCTTGCTATCATGTGAAATGATTCAATTGTGTGATAGTTTGAACATTCTTTGGCATTGCCCTTCTTTGGGATTGGAATGAAAGCTGACATTTTCAAGTCCTGTGGCCATTGCTAAGTTTTCCAAGTTTGCTGACATATTGTGTGCAGCACTTTAACAACATCATTTATTTTTTAAAATTTGAAATAGCCCAGCTGGAATTCTATCACCTCCACTACCTTCACACTAACGCTTTGTAAGGCCAATTTGACTTCACACTCCACGCTCTAGATGAGTGATCACACCATCGTGGTTAACCATGTCATTAAGACCTTTTTTTTAATATTTCTTCCCTTATTCCTGCCATTTCTTTATATCTTCTTCTTCCGTTAGGTCCATCCCATTCCTGTCCTTTTTCTGTCAAATTTTGCATGAAATGTTCCCTTGTTATCTCTCATTTCCTTAAAGAAATTGCTAGTCTTTCCCACTGCATTGTTTTCCTCTATTTCTTTGCATTGATCACTGAGGAAGGCTTTCTTATCTCTCCTTGCTATTCTTTGGAACTCTGCACTCAAATGGGTATATTTTTCATTTTCTCCTTTGCCTTCAGCTTCTCTTCTTTTCCCTACATATTTTGTTAGATTCAGTTTAATATTTTGTTGCTTTTGTGACATTGTTATTCTTATTGGTCAATATAAAAGAATGATAATTAACTTTTGTATGTCAGCCTCATACCCTATGACCTTACTATATTTGATTTTAGCTTCAGGAATTTTTTGTTAATTCTTTGGGATATTCCATATAGATAGACAGTTATAGTTCTTGCTTTACTTTTCTTGTCTTCTTTCATTAGCTAGGACTTCTATAATAATACTGATAGAAGTTATGAATGAGGACATCTCTGCATTGCTCCTATGAGAGTCCCTTGGACTGCAAGGAGATCCAACCAGTCCATCCTAAAGGAGATCAGTCCTGGGTGTTCATTGGAAGGACTGATGCTGAAGCTGAAACTCCAGTACTTTGGCCACCTCATGCGAAGAGTTGACTCATTTGAAAAGACCCTGATGCTAGGAGGGATTGGGGGCAGGAGGAGAAGGGGACGACAGAGAATGAGATGGCTGGATGGCATCACCGACTCGACGGGCATGAGTTTGAGTAAACTCCGGGAGTTGGTGATGGACAGGGAGGCCTGGAGTGCTGCGATTCATGGGGTCACAAAGAGTCGGACACGACTGAGCGACTGAACTGAACTGAACTGAACTGGGTAGAAAGCATTCAGTTTTTCACCACTAAGTATACTATGTATAGATCCCACATTATGTTTAACTATTCTTTAAAAATACTTGAAAACATATAAAATTGTTATAATTTTTGCTTCTAATACCTTTGCTCATATCTTGCTATTGATAAACAAATTAGTACCCTGCAAAGAGATATGAGTTTGTTTTAAAGCTAGAATAGGATAGGAAAGAATGGAAGGATTTTCTGCAGAAGTGCAGAATACTAAGGATAAGTAACATCTGATCAGAAAAATAAGCTGGAGCTGATCAACCACTCTCTGGGGCCATATTAAAGAAAAAGGGGAATATTTAAGTTTGCTTCCAGACTGAGAGTGTCTCCCTGGCAATACCTATTTACCTGATCCCCTTGGAGCCATAGCACATTCTTCAGAGTACCTTAATTTAATTCTGTCTCAGGGAGACATTGTCAGTAATTAGTAGCTGAGTCAGTGGGGGTTGAGGGAGTTTACCTGTTACATAGAAAATCAGAAAATGAGGAAAGGGATTTCAGCTCTCGTTTCCTACAAGATCTGTTTCTCATATTCCAGTTTGGAATTATGAATGAGTTTTACTATAGTACCATATTATATTCAGTAGTTATTTTTCTCTAAAACTCTTGGTGAGGTTGTGTTCTGTATTTTAAGTGTTTTGTGTTCATTCACAAATATTCATTGAGTGTGTTCTCTGAGAGGCACTAGAAACCAGTCCGTTACTTAAATTATCCCTCTGCGTGTACATGCTCTGAATTCTGAATAGCTGGTTTCCATGTCTTGTTTTGGAGCCCAGCTATCTAAATCAGCTCAGGGTCGTTAAGAGTTCTCCCTTTGTAGGGATAAGGCAAAAATCATCATCTCTCTCTCTTTAGTCGCTAAGTCATGTCCGACTCTTGCAACCCCATGGACTGTAGCCCCCCAGGCTCTTCTGACCATGGGATTCTCCAAGCAAGAATACTGGAGTGGGTTGCCATTTCCTTCTCCAGGGGATCTTCCTGACCCAGTAATCGAACCCAGGTCTCCTGCATTGCAGGCAGATTCTTTACCAACTGAGCTATGAGGGACCTGTTGAGCACAATATCTCTGGGCTTATCTTTCCTATCCCTATCAGAACAATCTATTCTGACCTAATATCAACAGTTTTCATTTTGATTTATGTTACCTTGTGTGAAAGGGATATAAGAAAATACAATAAGTTGTAAGTCATCATGTATCTTCTTGGATTGATTTACACACAAAAAGTCTTCTCCTGAAAGAAGAGAAGTGATAAATAGAGCACAGAGGAAAACAGAAGGAAAAAGAGGACCAGGAGGAGAAAGAGAGGGAGAAGGAAAGGAGTGGGAGAGGGAGAAAGAGAGAGAATTTGGTGAAAGATAGTTATGGTGAATGAGACACTGAATAGAGAGGAAAATAGGGGAATTCCATTGTGTATTATACAACATAACCTCTCCATTGCATCATTTTGGCAATGTTTAATAAACATTATATTGATTTTAAAGGTTTTATTCTCAACATTGGATTTTTTTTAACTTGTTGTTGTGACCCCACTTAGGTAGGTTATTGAGTTATTACTACTTTCTTTCTTTCTGCCTGACACCTTGCATATCAGCTTTCTAATCAGTCTGATTGTGAGGCTTACTTTCAGGTCTGTCCCTAGAATTGATGACTCAGCTCTCTTGATTCCATCCCATCTTCCTGCTGAAATAAGCCCATGATCATGCATCCCCAACCAACATCCCACATTCTCCACTCCTTCGTGCCCAAGGAAGAGGCTTTGACAGTCAGTTGTACCTGATAGCCCTTGCCAAGTGCTTAAGTAAAGAGTGCTTTATATGGGGAATTAGTTTAAAAGGGTTCAGAGGACTAAAAAGCAAAAGAGCAACAAAAATTAACAAAGCAGGAGCTGCTAGCATTACTAAGCATGCAAAGACACAGGGAGAAGATGCTACTAAAACTCACAGACTCTAAGGATATGCTGGGACTATTGAAGAGGCAACAGCCAGTGTTAAAGACTGCAGGAAGCAGAAAAGGTAAAGAGAAGTACTCTGATGTCTCTTTTTCCCACCTCCCGGGTCTCCCAGCTATGCTTCCCATTGATCAGGATTAGCTAGAAGCCAATGGGAGAAGAATCTATGAAATCAACTTGCAGGATCAGCCACCTACAATGCAGAGCGGAGCAGGAAAAGGTCATGGAAAGGATCTGAATGTAAAGCAAAAATTATACACACAATTTTCCCCTGAGGACCCAGTTCATGTGTCTACTGCTTGACTCAGTTCTCAGGTCTATTGTTATTAGACACCAGCCTGTCACTGTATACTCATGGTATATGCATTCTGCTCCAGCTGATAAGGATGTGCCAAGGTTTTCCAGTACAGAACTCTTCAATGCTATCCAGTGATCACTTAACAGCCATAGACAGTCTATGCATTAAAGCTAAAACCAGATCGGTCTCTGAACTTGGGTCCATCCCAGAGACATCGCTACTGCTGATCTCCTCACAAGGGCATCTTCCAGATAAATGTACATAGCACTTTCCTGGTCTCATACTACACATGGAAGTCAGGTAACTGGGTCATACCCTCCTTTGCCAGAGAGTCTGCTTGTTAAAGATACCTTATATACAAGCAGTGCTAAGCAACACCTTTCACGGCTTCATCCCTGGCTGTGCCCAGCTGTGTGATTGGGGAAGGATCAATGACCTGTTACCCTGTGGAATTCTGGCCCTAATAGGACAGAAAAGAGGAAATGACTCAGTTGTGTAGGCTCAGGTCCAGGAAGCCTTCAGGGAAGTTCTGCATGCACAGCTGGCTGAATTGCCTGAGCTTTCCAGATCTTCTGGATTGGGAGACCTCCCAGTCAGCATCAGAATCACTCTAGTAATAACTTTTCTATTCTCCTTGATGCTCTGCCATTAGACCTCACACTGATGATATGAACACAAAATAAAGCTTCATTGCTTTGCCTGTCCTGGCTAAGCATCTGCTGATGTCCATGGAGAAAATAATATACTAGGTGGGGAAGCTCTGCTTCCAACTGGGCTAGGTGGCCGACTTCCCTGTGTGTGTAGAATCCATGGTGGTGGCCCACATTCAGTAGAAACCTGCATCTACCCTTTGCTGAATTTTAAACCATACAATAAGACCGTCCTCTTATCCATAAGTTGAAAACAATGCAGAACTTCCTTCTGTATTCTCTTTCAACATCCTAACTGCTCTAGGACACTACTCCATGTAATACTATCTTGCTCACACAAGATGCGATTTTCACCTCCCAGTATAACCAAACCAACTATTTTTTTTTTTTCATTTGGAACAGTTTTTGGAGCTTTCAAAGTCCTCAAAAATTGCAATATTTGTCCACTATCTGCCACTCTTCTACCCCACACCACTGCTAACATATAACTTGGATCATGTTATTAATGAACTTGAGGAGGCTTGAGTTTACATAATTTCTATTTGTAAGATTAGTAAATTCAGTAAACTCTTCACCACAGAATTGTCATCGATGACTATCCACTCAAGGCGTCTTCATGGACAACAACTTTGCTTCCCATCTGGTTTTTGCCCACATTTCTCCTTGAATAATAGCTCTCCAGCAGCTGACCATCTGAACAGAGTACTTAGTAGTTCTTTGGGCCTAGAGGGATCATTGGGACATCCTTTGGTGGACCAAAAATTGGCACGATTCATGAACAGGCACCTAAGTAAGAATTGCTGACAGGAGAGTCTTTCCACAAGGCTTCCCTTGACAGGCGCACTAGTGTCTCTGCTGGGAGTTGGCTTCCTTTTGGGTTACAAAGATCACCATTTCTTTCACCCCACAATATTCTGCCTCTTTGTTTGCTAGGACCTATTCGTCCCATCAACCTGCCCGCAGACTGTCTGAATGATCTCAGTTGCTTTAATATACTACTCCCTCTCCAACTAAGGAAGCAGGAAGGAAAAGGGTCTTTTTCCTGCACCTCAGCACTTCAGGGACTGAACTTATATTCCATTTCCACTCTCATTTTGAATGCACATCCGCTGTTCAGTTGGCTCTCATTTCTGCCCTCTTCCTTTCATCTGTTCTTCTTTCTCTGCTCAAGCACTCACTGTGATGTGCGTTTTTGTGGTCTAGTTGGATGAGTGTTCTAGCGTTAGCTTGTGGATTTTATTCTCACCATCTCACTCTGCAATTTGTGGGCCAGCTTTGACCCAACACTGCACCCCACTCAGATTCCCAGAAACAATGTGACCAGGGGCCAGAGCTTTAATCCCTGCTTGCATAGAAGGTAAGGAGCTAGGTTAAGACTTAAGTAAGAAAGGACCATACTTGGCTTCTATCCACAAAACAGTTTGCGCTATGAATAATACTGGCTGTTTCTCTGAATCAAGCTCTTGATGAGAAATGAAGATACAAATTATTTTCTCATCTTCAGTTTCTTAGCATTCAGACTTCAAATGTAAACACACACACACACACACACACACACACACACACACACACACACACATGAGTTTCCCTAGTATTTCTTCTACCTATCACCCTGGGAAGTTAATTAAATGGATATCAGAATTGGTTTTTCTTAAGGCGCATGAAGAAAGCCCTCAAAAGGAGTCTTTAATTGTCTGTGAGGACACATAATAGATTTAATAAATAAATAAATTCTTCTTGAAAATGAAAACTTTGTTTTTCCTCACCTATGGGGTGAATATTTCTATAAATCCCACTTTTGAACAATGAATTTAAAATCTAAAAGAAAACACTTTCTTATGAATTAAATACTTTCTTAATATAATTAGAGTTGAACTACCATAAATATACTTCATCATCCATGATGCAATAGTGAACTAAAACCCCAGGAAACTGTTTGCAATATACTGTTTGTTTTAGACCCGCTTTCTCTATGTCTTTTTTTAAATCATCTGCACCTTTATTTCCTTTGCATCTTTCTTCTTCAATCCTAGCTGTCTAATCCAGGACTTCTAAAATCCTAATTTAAATATGAATCACTTGGGTGTCTTGTTAAAATACAGATGCTGAATCATGAGACCTGGGATGGGCTTTGAAATCCTGTGCTCCTGGTTGCAGACCACACTTTGAGTTCAGTTCAGTTCAGTCACTCAGTCGTGTCCGACTCTTTGTGAACCCATGGGCTGCAGCACGCCAGGCCTCCCTGTCCATCACCAACTCCCGGAGTTTACTCAAACTCATGTCCATTGAGTCAGTGATGCCATCCAACCATCTCATCCTCTGCCGTCCCCTTCTCCTCCTTCCCCCAATCCCTCCCAGCATCAGGGTCTTTTCAAATAAGTCAGCTCTTTTCATCAGGTGGCCAAAATATTGGAGTTCCAGCTTCAGCATCAGTCCTTCCAATGAACACCCAGGACTGATCTCCTTTAGGATGAACTGGTTGGATCTCCTTGCAGTCCAAGGGACTCTCAAGAGTCTTCAACACCACAGTTCAAAAGCACGTATTTAATCAGTTTTTGTGTATTACCTTAAAGCATCAGAGCTATCCCTCTCCTCTCAGATATTGGTGTTTTTTTCCAAGAAATAAAGCAGACATCAGGTAAGAGATCTCTCCTTCTGCAACTTCAGATAGCAGCTCTAGCCTCATGGGAGCCTAGAGACAATCGCAGTGGCAATACTGGGGTATCGCCCTGAACTTCCTCTTCAAGTGCTATGGCCAGGGTGACAGACACTCCAATGGTCAGTTTTCTGAGGTCATTCTGATATCATGCAGTAAAGGTGCTTTTGTAAGCTAAACAATACAATTAAAATGACAGAACTAAGATGTTCTAATAGTAATAACCAGTGCAGAGTTTTGACTTTTTCAGAACAATTTGTTTCCATTTCATTGCTAGCAAACAGTCACTAAGTGACTGACTTTTCCAAGTGATGTTGGAAACTTGCATCCTTTGTATATTGATGCAAAGTAGAAAAGAAATAGCTGTAAAGTCTTATGAAATGTAAGAAAAATATACATATGTTTCCATATTCAGTTATTTTTCTCAAGTCAAAATTGTAAACTTTGATGAAAAGAAATATGTTTCCCTACAGTGGCCTAGGGTCAGCAGGACTTCCCTGTCAAAGGATCAGTTCAGTTCAGTCCAGTCACTCAGTCATGTCCGACTCTTTGTGACCCAATGAACCACAGCACGCCAGGCCTCCCTGTCCATCACCAACTCCCGGAGTTCACCTGAACCCATGTCCATTGAGTCGGTGATGCCACCCAAATATCTTATCCTCTGTCGTGGTTGGGGCAATTTCAAAACCTCTTCAAGTCCTCTAGGTTAGATCAGTTCAACTTAAATCTTAAAAAAAAAAAAAAAGCTTAAAATTCATCTTCTTTTCAGTATTCCATTTTATTGCACTTTTGCAGCATCAATAGCATGGTACACATGGGCTTGAATATCTGTCTTATCAGCATCTCCAGGAGAAGGAGAGCAGAATTAATCT